AAAAAGAAGTGATTACTATGCATGTGCGGCAAACAACCTTTCTTGCATTCTCTTGGGTTGTGAAATATATATATCATAAGCTTTCTCTTCACTCATGTTTGAACAGAAGTAAAACATGAGCTGTATAACCACATAATGTGTTGTTATGAAAGAAATGATTCGGCTCGGTATCTACTCAACCTCCTGTGAGGTTTCATGCCGAAGTAACTGAGCTCATTCAAAGTGTGCCGAATTAATTAGATAAGCCTACGTTTCATAAGTGATTTCTTAGCTTGTATCTTAAACTACTATACTTTAACAAAATGAAAAAACATTAAATGAATAAACAAATGCATCCCTATTTTATCAAGAAAAGGTTATGGTGTATTGAATAGCTTCGAGACTTTTGATTACCTTGGATACGCCCGAGTAATCTTAATCGACATGATTTAACTTAGGCTCATACCTAGCGTGCCTGATGAAATGGATTTAGTTGTTATATAATTTTTCCTTTTTTTTTTTTCGGAGTGGGTCAGTCAGAACGGAAAGCTACCCAAGATGACTCCTTATACGTTCACGCACCTTCTTTGCGTACTTGTGTTCGTGCAATGGTCGTTTTTAGTAGAAGGGTCTCACTTCAGACATGCCCTCATGAGCTTTGCTCCGACTGATGCTGATAACAACACGGTATGGTCCTTAATTGCACGCTACTGAGCTAATTTCAGAGATTTGTTGTCTACCGTTTTTGCATGTCGTATATAAAACCTTGGTGGTAGAAGTTGAAATTCAATTTGATGAACTTGCCTTTATATGTGTAAGGCTGGTTTTTTTTCTTCAGTTTGTAAATGAGACATTGCGAACGCATAATTGCAAATGAACGTTTTCTCCGAAGCTTTTACAGACTGCTCAGAGCGACTGGCTGTCGCCTTGTTTAGACCTTTTAAGATCTTCAAATTTAAAGCTCTTGAAACACTTCACCAAACAGTACTGTAAACTTTTGTTTCTCAAGAGACCAAACTATGCGTCAAGGCACATTAAAAAGGAAAGCACATTACAGAAAAGCATATTCCTCTTCTCCATGTGGCGGTAATAACCTTTCTAGTCACCGCTCCTCCGTGTTGAAGAAGGCATGCCTCAGGTCGGAACATTTAACAAATCGGACTCCATGGCTAGGTTATCGATAGACAAGTTTGGACTTTACGAATCTTGATATTGAGGGAAATTTGCTTCCTGCACTGATTCAAACTTCAATGGGCGTATTTTTCTTTTTTGATAAATATCATTAGTATGTTACACTATTGCTATATTTTATGACTTGGTTTTAATGGCATACGAATGCCGAAAAAAGTTAGCATATACGTTTGTATTTTGCTATCCCCCGATCTTTTTACGGCTCTCGATGGGCTTTTTTGTTATTGAGATGGGTGCTACATATTTCTGAACTACCGTGATCTACTCTCTTGCAGGGAGTCAGTAGACATTTCTACATGTATTTTTAGACTTGTGTTTTGGAAAGAAAAAACCGCTTTTGTACGCCTATGTTAATCAAAATTATTTTCCTAATTTTTTTTTTTGTTTTGTTTTTTTTTTTGTTAGAGTGTCTGTGCGCAACAAGCCTTAGCAGTAATTGCTTTAATTGGTTTTTGTCCATCTGCTGAATCACCTCTTTTGAAGAGTGCGGCACAATTCAGTGACTTGTAAACTTTACAATCTCTTAGCGAGTAAGGAGCAGCATGTTATTGAGATTTAAACTGTATATTTTTCTATTCCTGCTTTGATTTTTTTTCACTTTGAAGAGATACTTGGCCAAGATGAAATCGCGTTCGTTCTGCCTTTGACTCAACCAGCTGTGCCCAGTTCTTGGAAAGTCGCGTTCTCACTGGTTGTTCGTTCATATTCATAAGTTTCTCCACACGCTTACGCAAGCGAATTATCATCAAGCCAAGATTTTGCTCAATTTTCAAAGGCCGTCTGTCATTGAGCTCGACGGAGTTAATCCTACTCTTTTTCATTGCAATTGCTTGAATTGTGCAATTTTTTTTCTATTTACTTATTTGTGCACGATATACTCAGCCAAGTAAGAATCACTATATATCTTCCTTGACGCAACCAACTGTGGCCATTTCTTGGAAAGACCGCGGTTTTTGTAATTATTTATTCATTTGACGTATTAGCGTCATATTCATAATTTACCTCCAGGTGCCTAAGCTTTCTTAACCACATCTACCCAATTTTGGTTAACTTTCCAGTTTTTCCGTCTTAGCGGTTGACCTTTTTTACTATAGGCATTGATTTCAAACTTTCCACGACAAGGGTAACTGTGTTTAGTTACCGAAATGTGTGTATATGAAGCACATTGAAGAACTGTCTTTTGAGAAAAGTTATGAAACGGAGGATTATTTGAAGAATGAAACCGCCCCCCTCATAAAAATGCATCGGTGGCAAAAATTCACTGACACTTTCCGTTTTCAGAAAAGAATAATCAACGATTGTTTTTTAGTTAAAACTATATACTCGCCTTACAATAATTGCACAGCGACTAACGGCTGCAGAAGCCTCCAGGACATGGAGAAGGAAATAAAATGTCTGGTAGACAAGGCTACACAAGGGAAATCGGTTTTTTCTTTCTATTTAGGTGTTAGGTTCCACTGATACCACTGTTTTTTTCGTACCTGACGATAGGTTCTGACCACCTAACTTGAAATATCGCCAGCGTAAAGTGGCTTTCTGTTTATGTGTGATTAATAATGGTAATAGGACTGATTGGAGTCTAATTCGCTCTTTAATCACATGAGCAATTAACAAAATCAGGCGACTGCAAAGGGGGAATCAGATTTTTTAATCACCTAGCTTTTTTGCATGATATCTTTCTAATTATTTTCCAGATACGGTTTACCTTCCGTCTGGCTTTTCGAAGGTCATTTTCTGCATATCAGTGTGATGAGAACACAACTAAAGTAGGAGGAATTATTGGATCTGGCAATTATTGGAGAGCTAAGTGCAGCGATCCTTTAAATGCAGTGTGTTGGACCACTAATATTGCTGACACTGGCTTTCGCTGTACTGACTTCAGTCGCGATGAAGACTGGTCCATGGGGGAAAATAACTTCACCTACACTTTTCCGTCCGGCATTCTTGAGTGGAATGTGAGGTGTGTCATTAAGTGAAAAAGAAATACAAGACAACTAAGTTTTTAAAAATGTCGCAGTTTTAAGGCAGCGGAGAGCTTCGAACAATTAAGAGTAGTTTGCAATAACCAAAATCATCCCTCAACATTGGAGTATCTTTCTGATACCCTGTGTTTAACGCGGAAAATAGCTGAAAGCCATTCCTGAGTTGTTATAATGACCCAAAATTCATTTCTTCCATCGATCACTCGGTCACTCTATTAATTACTCTTTATTCCTTCCATTCCTATTAACTTTTTGGTGTGCTGACTAGTGTATAAGGCTTTCTCATGTTCAGTTTCGTTTTTGCGGTGGCCTCTCCTCCCAAATCAAGGTAACTTTCTAGTTTCTGTTTTTTCACAAACCTTTCTTTCACGTCTCGTCGACAGATACTACAGTTGCTGTTGGATTTCTAATCTTGTGCGATATGCTAACTCAGCCTGGTTGATATCTACCAATATAAGTCTTTCTAGAAGATCTGATAATGGTAAAATCAACTCAGCTCCAGTCTCCAGGAGCCCAGCTATCGTACGGTTTCAACAGGGTTGCCAAAAGTCTCTTAAAATCCCAGTTGAAGATCCAGATGGCGATTTTGTGAAATGCCGTTCGGCAACCGACGCCGAGTCCTCCATACCAAGAGATAGCTTCCCTCACGGTGAACTTGATGAGGTAAATTTGTAAGCTCTATCCTTACAATTTTTCTCAATCCATAAGTACAAAACTTAAGCTAAAGAACGCTAAAGAACGCAATCTCTCGGACTTTCTCTATAAATCAGCTCGGATAAAGTTTCTCAGTTGAAAAGTAAATTTAGTCTTGTTTTGGGATCAAGTCGGTAATTCTTAGCAGACCCATGAGAGCTTTCTGAGTAAAACAACGACCGAGTAAATGGAGTGATACTCAGAAACCCAATAGAAATTACAACTAAATTTAAAAAAGAATAGGGGTTTACAAAATAGAAGAACCTGCTATACTTTTTGTACCAAATTGTACCTCAATTTTGCCTGAAAACGCAAACATTATGTTCAGAGTTGGTGTGAATATATTAGCGGTAGCGATCCAACGCTTACGTTTCAGTGTTTCTCGGAATTTGCTTGGTTAGACTGTTAACGATTTTATTTAAGGATTTGAAATCTATGTGCATTTTTATTGGCTCTCACTCATGATCTACTGGAGGTAAGACGCACTGTTCAGTAATAGATCAGAGATTGCGTCAAAATGTGGTAAGAACAACATCTATATACCTCAAGTATCTATTAAATGGTACTTCCTTACTTTGCTTCGCAGAAAAACTGTGTTTTAACTTACAAAGGTGGATATGGAGCATCGGGCACTTACGCAGTAACCTTAACCTTGGAAGACTTTCCAGCTGGAACCACAAACTTCAATAACATTAGACCATTCAGTGCTGTGCCACTGCAGTTTCTTGCCATAATAAGCGTTGGATCTGGTTCTTGCCAAGACATACCTGTTTTTACTGCTTCCACACCTAAAAATGGTGAATGCTCAGAGATTCAGATTGGTTCAGTATATAAAGCAGTAATTGAAGTGCAGCATCCAAACATTGCTAAACAGTAAGTATTCAAGGTTGAAATTAAGTCCAAGGCATCTGAGCTTGTCTTTTTCGTTCATGAACTGTATGTAACATATCCAAA